TCTGTGAAAATCCAGATTTGTGTTGCTGTGTTGCTATCATTTTCTTGTTTAGATCTTTAATCATGTGAAATTCTCTGCAAAAACTCATATTTATGTTGCTATCATTTTTTTTTATAGATCTTTTGATTATGTGAAATTGTTGATTTGGTATCTGTTTTTTTCTTGACTTGGGATGTTTGGGGATGTTTGCATGGGAAAAGATTGAACGATGAACAATGACGGTTAAGGGTAATTTTGAAATTTTAGTTTTTATAAATTACAGATTATGTTTAATGTCTACGTGGAATGCCACATCATATTTTTTATTTTTATATTTTCCATTTCATTTATACAAAGAAAATAAATTAGACAATCCCATTAATTAACTTCTCACATCAGCCAAAACTTAACAGAAGGACTAAAAAGGAAGTCAAATTTCAAAAGTAAGGACCAAAAAGGAAATTTTTTCAGTATAAAGACTAAAAAGGGGCTTTTTCCTATAGTAGAGGGGCCAAAAAGGATATTTAACCTATGTACTACATATGAACTAAAGTATGTGTTTGAAACAAGTTTAAGTATATTTTAATCTATATTAAATGTTATAATATTCAACAAGTATATAAATATATCTACATGTGTATTTATATCCAGCAGGTTAGGTAATGAGTATAAATTATCAATACCTTAATAAATATTATGTATCAAAATCTTGTACATATTGTTGTTTAAGTTAAGTATATGTATGAGCAAATATCCGATTATATTATACTTGCACACCTCTAAAAATTATAGTAGATGTTTTTGTGATTAAAAAAGTCAGATTTTTTAAATTCCAACAAGAAAATAGATGAGATATAATATAAGTTTTATAAGTTTCATTTGTTATATAGTATATATTGAATGTCATAATATTTTTAATGTCAAAATATCTTAATTTTTATTTTTTCATATGTGAGAATGGTTTTTTTTTTTTTTTAAGTTTGAAAATGAAACTATCAAAATACTTTTAATAAATAAAGGTAATTAACGACATTAAAATACTTTCACAATTCAAACTATATAAAATCTAAATTAAAAAAGTGAAGAAGGCTTGCAAAATAATTAGTTAAACTATTGACCAAAAAAAAATACTTCATCACCCATATAAAAGAGTCAAACCCTCATTCCCCATAGAAAGGACATAATCATCTTTAATCAGTACATCACCAACAAGAAAATAATGCTCTAGCAAGTATATTCCAAAAAAAAAAAAAAAACAGAAGCATTGAGGGACGGAGCCACATGGAAATGGGTTAAGGCACGGCCCTATCCAAGCCTCAAAAAGTAAGAAATAAAAATATTTAGGAGCAAGGTTACAAAAAAAGAAAAAAGAAAAAAGTAAAGGTTAAAGACTCTACATAATCATGTTGGTAGAGTAGGAAAAAGGCCTTAAAGTTTGCGTTAAAGGAAGAAAGCCTTTGCCCTTTGGTTTTCCCTGGTACTGCGAGTACACGGGCAACACATCCATTAAGTCTTGTAAATTATACCAATAAAAATTTTTGTAGTTAGCTGCTTATAGACCTGAATTCAGGACTATCAATACAAAAGAAAATTACACCAAGTAATAGCTCTTTACAAGCCATATATAGCTACACACAGAATTAATGTTAAATTTACAAAAAAGAAAAAAAGAAAGAATTAATGTTAAAACTCCTTAAGAAATTTGTTAAAAAAAAAAAAGAAGTTTTAAAAGGTTCTTATGCAAAATCATTCACAGCTGACAAAAAGCGCATAACCCAATTAGCTACACACAACAATTGATCCAAAAAGGACGGTATTACCAGAATTTGGTTTTTTTAAGCTTACAAACTGAGCTGATTCATACTTAGTGAAAACAATGAAATCTTACAAAATGCACATATATGTTGGGTGAATGTATATGGATTCTTGTTGAGTGAAAAACTGAAAAGATTAATACGGCACATAGATTGTAGGATTTAGAATTGTAAGATTTTATTAAGATTGCGTGTGGTTTGAGAGAAACAGAAACTAAACATATCCTAAAAATTACGTTTTTTTTTTTTTTTGTCTAATTTAATTATTTTAATTTAACTTTTACAGATGCTTTGATTATATAATTTTACACGTACATACTAATAATAATTTAAAAATTTTTTCAATACATAAATTGAGTATTTTCACTTAAATTAATTTTTTTAATTATGATTTGTTCATTATATAAAATTATCCAATTAATTTATATAAAATTAAGAGATTAGGAAAAAAAAAAAAAAAAGAGATGAAAGAGCAACAAATTATTTTCCTGTGAACCAACTTACTAAACTATTGGATTATTATGGGCACACGGAAACGAAAAGATCAAAAGGCAGGTGGGAGTTGGGATGTATATATTTACCTTTTCGCCATCTTCGTTGAGGACGGGATGATCGCAGTGACTGACCGCTGAGATAAAGGTCCTTCAAGGAAGAAACAGAGCGCAATGCGGGAACCAAATTCTAGTAATCGGCCGGTAGGAACTAGACCCATAGGGCGTCGGAACTGGCGACAGAATTGAAAAAGGGGGAAACTAGTGACAATCTACAGGGATGGAGAGGCGGACTGGTTAAGGAGATGATGGTCGCGAAGCAATCGGCGGGAAGAGCGCGGAAATCCAGCATCTCTATATGGATTCCTTGACCGTTTGTACCAGTACTCGTTGTCAGTGAATCCAATTGCCAGGACATCGGAGTTTAATAAGGGATATTTGACAAAAGCTCGGCAATTAAGTCTTGTAATAGTATAGCATACTAGGGGGTGTTGTTATGGACACGAACACAAATGTCTTTTTTTTTTTTTTCCTGTAGATAGTTAATTATAGTATTTAAAAGTAGGTAAAAATTTATAAAATGCTCTCTATTTTATTAAGTTTAAAATTTTTAACCCCTTACTTTACAATTTAAAGAGGGACGCATCAAAACTTATTATCAGGATAAAAAAGGCTCAAGATTGGTGATAAATGCTAATAGTATCTCATAGTTGTTACCCTTGAAATGATCTAGAGGTGTACTTGTTGAAGTTGCCTCTAAGGGTATATGGTGTCACTGACGTTGAACAACATGTTGCAACTATGATTTAAGCCCTTCGAGTGTGATCGTGGGGTTATTATTTAGCCCTAATGTTTTCTGACCTTTTATTATAGCAATTGGCATCTTTGTCAAGTTCTACAATTTGCAAAACTACTTTAGACTTCTTGGAGACATGGCTACATGTTGCTTCTTTGAATCCTCCATTATTTGGCTCATTTGTTCCTTTGAATGCTTGGACTATTCAAGTTATCGTCCCATGTACTCATCTTGTTCTTGAGCAAAATGTTCTAAATGTTCTTGCCACTTAATGCTTTCCTCTTGACCTTGACGACAGTCCTCAAACCCCTCCTATATTAGTTTACACATTCTAGA